ATTTTCCAATCCCTTCAAATAAAATAACACACCACAATACAAACACATACAAAAATACCCCCCACCATAAAAACCAACCTAAAAAAAAAAAAAAATACAAAACAAACCCACAATAATCTTCCCCACCAAACTATAACCATCTCCATACCAAAACAAACAACCTCAACCACAATAATCCCAAAAAAACCCACCATATATCCCTCCTCCACTACCAATCATAACCCAAACCCACAAAAACAACTTACAACCCAATTCCCAAAAACAAAATTAACCAAACAAACACCACCAAAACAAATATCAACAAAATATCCACCCCACACTATACCAACAAACAACATATCACACACCTAAAAACCACTACTAACGAAACAACCAATCCATCACCCCCAAAATCTAACCACCCTCCCAAAACCAAAAACCACCCCTAATCAAAAACAAAATCCAAAACCCTATCCCCTATACTAACATACATACACACAAATTTCCCATCAATAATAATAACACCACCTCTAAATTTAAAAACTAACTCTAAATAATATCCAAACAAACAACCAAACAATAAAAAAAAAACCAAAATAAAAAATACAAAACCTACATAACTCATATTTTTTTACCCTATCTCTCTAAACCAAAAAAACTTCTTCCACCCATTATCTAATCTAAAACATCAAATAACCACAAACCAACCAAACAACCATTTAAAAAACATACCAACCCCTTATCCATTTTTAATCCTCTACCTTCATTTCACCAATTCTTACAAAACTCAAACTAACTTCAAACTTTTTAAAACCCCCAAAACAAAAAAAAAACATACATACCATAACCATCATACAAAACCAACACTCTAACATAAAACAAAAACCCCTTACTATATCCTCTTCACACCAACCAAACTACCCCAAACAAACCCATAATACCATTCTATATTTCCATCTCTTATCCAATCTCTAAATATAAAATCAATTTACCAAAACATCAATCCCTTATCAACAAAAAAACCTATACATAATCCTCCTACTACAACACCATATCTCATCCATTAAACCCCCTCAATTAAAATAACCCCCTATCCCTCCTCCCAAACCTCCATCCCCCACAATCCATTCAAATACAAAATTCAATTCCACTAATTTATTCTCATCTCAAAATCCCATTCCCACACCTACTACATACCCTAAAAAAAAAAAACTAAAACCCTCCTACCCTTAACCCCAATAAATAAAAAAAAAAAAAAAAACAAAATTAAATAAAACACCTCTATTTTTTTTTCTACCTAACTTTTTCATTTAATACCATAATAACTACAATATTTTTTTTAATTCACAACACCCACCCACTAATCAAAACAAAACCCTAACCACAAAAATTCCCCTACACACACAAAAACACACCAATATACACCAATACCCACCCCACTTCACACACACACTATACCATCAAACAACACACAAACTCAAACCAACAACCACAACAACACACACAACAACAACTCGACTCTCTCTCTCACCAACCACACAACTATCTCATCCCTAAACCACAAACCCAAAAAACAACAAAAAAAAAAAATCACAAAAAAAAAAAAAAAAACATCCACCCCACCACCACCCCCCAAAAAAAATAACCAAACAAATCAAAAAACACAAAACACCCCCCAAAACCCAACCAACCAAAAAAAAAAAAAAAATAAAAAAAAAAAAAAAAACCAACCACCAACAACCAACAATAAAAACACCACCAAAAAACCCCATCCACATTCTCAAAATCTACCAAAAACATACATCCTCCTCCCTATTCAACAATCAACACTAAAACCAACCACCCATCACACACAAAACAAAAAAAAACACACACCTACCATAAATCCACAACCAAAACAAACCCACAAAAAAATTCCACCACTTACACACTCCTCTACACCTTCCCCCAGACTAAACACACCATCCAACCCAAACACAACCCCCCACCCAAAACAAAAACCAAACCCTCTTCTCACACATAAACAAAATCTCAAAACATAACAAATCCACCCCCCCACCAACCCCCAACTATCACCATACCACTAAACTCCCCCTAATCAAAATACTCATACAATTAAAACAAAACAACACCCAATAACCACCTTTTCCACCCCCCCAAAAAACCTACCCCTCCCACCCCCCCCCCAAAAATATATCACACACAAAATAAAATACACAAAAAATAAAAAATAACCACCCCACTCCCCCCAAAACCTCCATTCACCAAAACATCCCATACACACACCCACATACTCAAACAACCCCCCCCCAACTCCTACCAACCACCCCCACACACCAAACAACCCTAAATCTCACCCATATATAAATCATCTCACAAAAACTACCACCACCATTTTTTTTACTACCAATTCTTCATTAAAATTTCATCATAACTTTAACACACATAATTACATATATAAATAATTCCTCCACACTCACTCACCCCAAAAACATACCATTAAATAATATACCCCATTAACAAACAAACCTCTCAAACAATTAAAAATTCACCAAAACACCTTCCACCCCACCCATATTATATACTATACAAAACTTACAAAAAACATACCATACAAATTTCTACCACTACTCAATTCCAATAACCCTTAAATCTATCACCTATACCAACATAACATCTTCTTCCCATATCATAAAAAACATCAAAAACTATCCCAATTCATTCCTCCCAAAACACTACCTTCCCCCAACTTAAAATACCTTACATCTTCTCTCTCTCCAAAACTCCCACCACCAAAAACCACACACCCTATCTCCCATTTCTACAAAATCAATCTATCAAAAAACCACCTCCCACCCCCACTTAAAAAACAAACCATCCAATAATAACAAAAGTCCCCTTCTTCTCATCATCATACACCACCCAATCAAACACCTACATATAAATAAAACACCCCTCCCAAACTAAACCCCAACAACACCCCTTTCTAATAATCACTTTCTTTTTCTTTCAACACTAAAAACCCCATATCATTACCTATATAAACCTTCATAAAACCTTAAAAATAACATTAAAAACCAACAAACCTTAATTTTAAACAACAAAATCAAATCAAAACACACACCAATATCTAATTCTTTTTTATTTTTCCAACCACCCTAATTCCCCAATTTCAAGATTCCACTCTCACCATCACTTTAAATTCCCTAATCTTTCCTATCTTATTTTTTCTCCTTACACAAAACCCTCATACCTCCCCAAAAAACTCTACTATAATCAATACAAACAAAAAAAAAATCAAAAATACAAAAACATAAAAAATCCCAACACAAAAACAAACAAAAAAAACAAAAACAAAAACAACAAAAATACAACCAAACAATAAAACACACAACTTCTATCAAAAAAAAAAAATACCAAACATTAACAAAACAATAACACTACAATATAAATATAACTATAAAATGCTTCTAAATCATCTCTATTTTAATAAATCATTTTTACATTAAAATTCACTTATTATAATACAACAAAATTTAACATTTTAATCTAATTTATTATTTAATTTTAAAAAATTTAATCTACTAAATATTATCCTCTTCAAAATCAATTATCTATAGAGATAATTCATTTAAAACCTTCCTTAACCAATCACTCAAAAAACATAAAAACAAAACATCACATCAAAACAATCATATTTATAATATATATATATATAAACTCATATTAATAAACACACCAAAACATATTAAATTTTTTAATATTTTCTTTTTTAAACTTTATATCATAATTCATAAAACCCACCATAACCCTCCCCAAATATAACCAAAAATACATCCTTAAACACCCCACCACAATCAAACCCCACAATCAATCAATCAATCTCCCAACCCCACATCAAACTCCTCCCTACAAAAACCAAACTATCTATATCTAAATCAATCACCTTCAAAAAAAAATTCAAACAAAAATCCCCCAACCAAACCTAATCCTACCTCATACAACCATACACAAACCACCAAAACATACACACCACCATTAACATACCATTCCCCATCACCCCCACCCCCCAAAAAACCACCTCTACCAAACAAAAACCCAAAACAACAAACCCCAACATACCCACAACACCAACCCCAATTTAACCATACAATCCTCCCCACACCCCACACATTCCAAACTAAAACCAATCCAATACCACCTCCAAACTAATTAACACTCCTCCAAACCAATCACAATACATCTCAAATCAAAAAAAAACAAACTACCAAAACATTTTTCAATTAATAATACACTCCCCCCCAAAATTAAACATTAAAAAATACAACCCCAAACCCCATATACCACATCAACTAACAATCTAATCAACAATATCATACAAACTTCCCTAAATAAAACCATAAATAATAAAAAAACCCCATCTCAACTACCCACCAATCTCCACCCCAAAAAATCCACACACCACATCCCAAAAAAACAACATCCCCCACAAATTAATCAAACCATATCTCCAAAAACTCTCCATTTCACCCTACCCCACAACAATAAAAAAAAAAAAAAATACATTCATTACCACATACACACCCAAAAAACCTACCAAACAAACAACTACAAACAATACAAAAATTCACCCAAAACTCATTACAAAAACAAAACCAACAACCTACCTCATACACCCCAATATCATTAACCATATCCTATCCCAACATTCAATAACTCCCACCTTTCTAACCCTCCCTCACATCAATCTCCACTACTCTTCAATCACCCCTCCCATTTCTTAAAACCATCTCCCATCCCCTCAATCCATAAACCCCAACAAATTCTCAAAATAACACCAAACCCACTCAAATTACCATCTAACCACCATAACATTTATTCATCATACAACACAAAAAAACCTAACACCCACTTACCCTCACCACCCTTCAAAATTAAATAAAACCCTCACAACCCACCCCATATATCCACACTTACACCCTAATTAATCTCTCACACCATCAAACTTCACTAACTCAACTCTAAACCAACAACCCCCCTAAACACACTTTCATCACATCCTCCAATACTCTCTCGCACTCTCGCTCTAGCTTCACACTCTCCAAACCCACTACACACCTCAAAACAACACTCATCTCACACCACTACATCCACCCATCCACCACACACACACAAAAAACCACAAAAACCTTACACTCACCACCAAAAAAACAAACTACCCCCCCCCAACACCCACAACCAAAAAAAACCCAATACAACCAAAAACCAAAAAAAAACCCCAACCAAACCCAAACACAACAAAAAAAAAACCACAAAACTCAAAAACCAACAAACCCACACCCCCCAAAAACTCTCTCTTCACTCTCTCCTACTCACTCACTCTCTCTCACACTCACTACTCAAAAAACAAACTAAAAACCCAAAAATAAAAACAAAAACACCACTCAAAACCACCAAATTTCTAACCCACCTTTCCCCTATATACCCTTTCCCCTAATCAAACAACCACTCTCAAAACATAAAAAATCACACCCCCAAAAAAACTCCAATATCCCACAAAAAACACAAACTTCCCCTAAAAACTTAATATACACAAATACTTCTATCATCAATTATCATTAAATTTCTAAAATAACTAAAAACTCACCAAATCAACCCTCTCAAAAAAAAAAAACACTCTACTCCCCCCCCTATCACAAACCACAACCCCAACCATATCCATCACAAAAAAAACTAAACCAATACTCCCCATTCCACCCTCAATCCAAACACCATTTAAAACAAAAAACAAACAAACCTCCAAAAACCCCATCACAAACTAATATAACCCATACAAATAATTAACAATACCCAACTCCAACTTCAATAACAAAAACATACTTTACCCTAATCAAATCCCACCATTTACAACTTAAAAACCCCCAATCCCCACCCAAAAACCAACAACATCAAAACACCACAAAAAAAAAATAAATCCACAAAAAACACATAAATCAACAAAACTAAAACTTAACACAAACCCAACCACACAAACCCAAATCAAAACCCATTATCCCCAACATATACAATCACCCACCCCAAATTCAAAACCCACCCCTAACAATAATCCATAGATATATATATATACAACAACCCACCACCCCACCCCCCCACACCCCCCCCACCCCCCCCCAACCAACCCACAACCACACACCACCCCAACCCCCACCAAAACACCACCCCCCACACCCCTATCACATACCAACCCAACACCCAACAAACCACCACCAAAACTACAAACCCCCCCCCCCAAACAAACCCACCCCACTCACACAAAAAACAAAAATACAAATAATCACACACAATAAAAACTAAATCCTAACAAAATATATAACACAAACTTAAAAAATAAACACCCCCCCCCCAACTATCAAACTAACATCCAATCAACCCTCCACCAAACCAACTTATTACCCAAAAAATATCTTTAACCACCCAATCCAACAAATCATTTTTCCCAATACTAAATACCACTACCCTTATATCATCAATCACACTAATCCACAAACACCACACAAACCACATCCTCCCCCCTAACACCACCAATACAACACAAAACCCCTACCCAACAAACCCTCACCCACAATATATAACCTACCTAAACCAAAACCCCTACAATATTCCAAACCCTTAAAAACACCCAACCCCCACCCCAACCACACACAACTCCCCCCCTCAAACCCCTCCTCCCAATTCTCTCATCTATTTTCACCCACCCCCTTCCCTCAAACCCCACACAAAAATTCTCCTAAAAAAACCTCCCCAAACTTTAATCAAAAATTCCCAACACCATATCTCTTAACCACTACACCCTACCACTTAATCCCCAACATTATCCTCATCCACCTCCACTCAAACCCATTAACCCCCCCACTAACACCAAACAAACCTCCTTCCACTTCACCCCCCCCACCCCACACCAATCAAATCCCCTTACCACATTAAAATACCCAACAACCCCAACCCCAAACATTATCCCCAATTAATTAAACCCAAAACCAATAATAACACACCAACACAAAAAAACAACATAAACCCCCCCCACACAACCACCCAAAAAAACCCCACAACCCCCCAAACCCTCAAACCCAACAATAAACACCCCCCCCAAAACAACAACCCAAAACCCTACACCACCAACAAAAAACTCCCAACACCCTTATCCTCTAAAAAAAACACCATATCCCCCCCCCCACCCAAAATCAACAATCCCACCCCCAAAATTAAAATACAAAATATCCAAACTAAATCCCCCTCCCCACAACCCCATAACAATTAAACCTGCTACTATTACTCTACCCTCCTCTATTACAAAATTAACATCAACAAACAACCACACAAAAACAACCACAACAAACCCTAAATCCCAAAAAAAATCAATCATAAACCATAACCAAAAATCCCTTCAATAACAAACACAACTCCCTAACTACCCAAAACAACAAAAACAAAACAACAATAACCCCCACCCCACTATCCACCACCACATCCCACCAAACCCTACCCCACATATATATATATATATATATAGTAGAGATAGATATAAAAAAAAACAAATCCTCTCACCTCATATCCCCCTAACTTCCAACAATCACTAAAAACCCACACCACAACCCCCCAACAAACAAAACAACAAACCCACATAACCAAACCCCAAAACACCAATACCACACCAACCTACACCACCCAACAACAACCAAAACCCCCAAAACATAAACACAACACACCCAAAACACCCCACAACACCACACCCCAACACAAACACCAAACCACCACACACACCCACACCATACAACCCCCCACCAAACAAAAACCACCACAACCCCCCACAAAAAAAAAACCAAACAAACCACACCCAACCCCCCAAAAACAACAACAAAACCAACACACAACAAAAAACAAAAAACACCCCAAAACCCCAACAAAACCACCACAACAAACCACCCCCCACCAACACCAAACCCCACCACACAAACACCAACAACCACCCCCCAACCCACACAAACCAAAACCCCAACAACACACCAACAAAACAAACCACCCCAAAAAAAAAAAACCATCACCAACACACAACCCCACCCAACACCAAAAAAAACAACCACCAAAACACCCACACAACAAACCACACCCCCCACCCAAAACCACTCACACACTATCAATCAAATCCACAAAACCCACACCCCCACCAACCCACCACACCCCATCCACCACCACACAACCACCAAACCCACCCCCAAACATCAACCCCCCCAAACACCAACAACCATAACAACCACAAACCCCCAACCCCCCCCTAACCCCCCCCCCCCCCAACCCCACCAAATACACAAAAACCCCCCCCCCAAATACAATCTCCCCCCACCATTAAACCAACCCACCCCCCACAAAAATCAAACACCACCTCCCAAAACCATATCCAATCATCAAAATCATACATCCACCCACCCCAAAAACACTCCACAAAAACACACCCCAATTCATCACCAAATACCACCCAAAACACCACAACTCCTTACATTACCATAACTATCCACCCAACAAAAAAACACCCCTCACCAACCCTAATTAACCCCCCCCACCTCACCACCACCCAAACCCATAACCCCCTATCTTGCACAAACACACCCACCACCCCCCCAACCCCCCCCCCCCCCACCACCCCACCACCCCACCCCCCCCCCCACCCAACACCCCCCACCCCCCACCAACCACACCCCAAACCCCCCCACCACCCCCACACCACCCCCCCCCCCCCCACCCACCACACCACCCCCCCCACCACCACCCAACCCCACCCCCCACCCCCCCCCCACCCCCCCCACCCCCCCAACCCCCCCCCCCCCCCCCCCCCCCACCCCAACCCAACCCCCCCCCCCCCCCCCCAACACACCCCCCCCCCACCCCCCCCCACCCCCCCACCACAACCACCACCACCCCACACCCCCCCCCCCCCACACCAACACCCCAACACAAACACCACCACCCACCCACCACCCCAAACCCCAACCACAAACCACCACCCACCCACCCCCCCCCCCCCCCCCCCCCCCCCCAAACAACAACCCCAACACCCCCCCCCCCACCCCCCCACCCCCCCACCCCACACCCCACACAACAAACCCAAAACCCCCAACCAACCCCCCCAAAAAACCAACCCACCAAACCCAACCCCCCCCCCCCCCCCCCCCCCCCCCCCCCCCCCCCCCAACCCACCCCCCCCACACCCCCCCCCCCCACACCCCCCCACCCAACCCCCCCCCACACCCCCCCCCACCCCCCCCCCCCCCCCCCCCCCCCCCCCCCCAAACCCCCCCCCCACCCCCCCCCCACCCCCACCCCCCAACCCCAACCCCCCCCCCCCCCACAAACAAACACCACCCCCAACCCACCAACCACCCAACCCCACCACCCACCCAACACACACAACCCAACCCCCCCACCACCCCCCAACCACCAAAAACCCACCAACCCACCCCCAACCCCAACACACACCAACCCCCCCCCAACCCCCAACAACCACACCACCCCACACACCCCCCCACACAAACCCCCCCACAACCCCCCCCCAAACCCCCCCCCCCCCCCCCCCCCCCACCCACCACCCCCCCCCACACCCCCCCCACCCCCCAACCCACACCCCACCCCCCCCCCCCCACCCACCAAACCACACCCCCCCCCCCCCCCCCCCCCCCCACCCCCCCCCCCCCCCCCCCCCACCACACCCCCCCCCCCCCCCCCCCCCCCAACCACCCCCCACCCCCCCACCCCCCCCCCCCCCCCCCCCCCCCCCCCACCCCCCCCCCACACACCCACACACCCCCCCCCCCAACACCCCAACACACCCACCACCACCCCCACCCAAAAAACACCACACACCCCACCACAAACACACACACCACCCCCAAAACAACCCAAACCACAAAAACCACAAAAAAAAAACCCAACCCACCAACCCCCACCCCCCACCACACCCCCACCACCCCCCCCCCCCCCCCCCCCCCCCCACCCACCCCCCCACCACCCCAAAACACCACCCCAACCCCCCCCACACCACACAACACCAACCCCCCCACCAACACAACACCACCCACCACCCCCCACCCCCCCCACCCCACCCCCCCACACCCAACCACAACAACAAACCCCCAACCACCCCCAACACAACCCCCCACACCCCCCCCCAACCACACCAACACACACCCAAAAAACCCCCAAACCACCCCCCCCACCCCCCCCCCCCCCCACACACCCCACCACACAACCCCCCCCCCACAAAGACTGAAATATTTATTCAGTGTAAGAAAAGTTGATTGAGGAGGGAATAGTGAGCGTCGGGCAAACAAGGAGTACTATTGCAGGACAAATAGCGCTGTGACGGTTTAGTCGGTTCGTAGAATCCTGAGAGGAGACACACACTGTTTTGTAGGAAGTAGATGCTAAGTGGCAGACGGACTAACTTTCACGGAGGCTGTATAAATGAGAAGAGGGTGTCTAAAGTGTTGTCGTTAGAAGAGAGCAGTCGTAGTATATTCACAGCACGCACTGTGTAGGCAGCTCAATCGTGAAAGTATCTATCAGCCATTGCAAGCCTTCAGGTCACGAGAGCGGGAACCGCCCACCCAGGGATAACCGCGTTTGCCAACTAACCGACAACATGACCACAATGGGCACAGGCAGTGGTTCTGCATTCTTTCCTGCACGTATCAGGTCTAGTTTTATAGAGTAGTTGATGCCTTTACATTCTAGGGGACACTCCCCCCCCCCCACATGGCTGTGTGTTGATTATAGACAGTTAAATCTAAAATAACAGTCTGTGTGGCAAAGTGCCTGGTTTTCTGTGCTCGATCAGGGGAAGGCCTACCACCAAGGGTTCCTGGAGGAGGAAAGCAGACCACTCACCGCCTTCATAACGCCGTGGGGTCTGTATGAGTGGATCAGGATTCCCTTCGGCCTCTCCTCAGTGCCTGCAGAGTTCCAGCGCAGCATGGAGGAGTGTCTAGCAGGTTTGAGAGATGAAACCTACCAACCATACTTGGACGATAACCTGTTGCATAGTAAGTCCTTTGATGAACATTTGCATGACATGAGAGCAGTGCTGCGCAGATACAAGCAACATGGTGTGAAACTTACACCGAAAAAGTGTGAAGTTTTCAAAAACAAAGTCAAATTCTTGGGGAAAATTGTGTCCCAAGACGGATACACAATGGATTCAAGTGAATTGGCGCCCGTGCAAGCTCTCAAAGACAAGAAGCCCACAAATATTGGTGAACTGAGGAGAATTCTAGGGTTCATTTCCTATTATCGGCCCTACATTCAAAACTTCTCCCGTATTGCCAGGCCATTGTATAGTCTGTTGTCAGCTGAGGGCACTCCCAGGGTTCCCTCCCACAAAGGGATAGGGAAGAGAGCGAGAGGAAAACAAAACAAGACCAACCAGTTGCCCTCAGGTCATCCTATCAACTGGACTGAGCAGCATCAGAGTGTACTTTGTGAACTCATAGACCACCTGCTGCAACCACCAATACTAGGATACCCTGATTTTGAGAAACCGTTTGTGCTGCACTGTGATGCATCTCAAGAGGGTCTAGGGGCAGTACTCTATCAGAGACAGCACAGTAAACTAGCTGTCATTGGATACGGCTCACGGACATTGACCCCACCTGAGAAAAATTATTTTAGCATTAAAATGGGCCATTTGTGAACGGTTCAGAGAGTACCTCTATTATGCCCCATCGTTTGTCGTTTACACCGACAATAATCCTCTAACCTATGTACTGTCGTCGGCTAAACTCAATGCCACAATGCATAGGTGGGTGGCCGAACTTGCAGATTTTGAGTTTACCATAAAGTATCGGCCAGGTAGGGTTAATGGGGATGCGGATGGGCTGTCACGAATGCCACTGGACATGGACCAGTTTATGTCAACATGTTCCAAAGAGGTAGAGCCAGATGTTATTGCCACTATCACCCAAGCAATACATGCAGAGTTTCAAAAGCATGCTCCATGGATGTGTCCTGTCACCATCTCCACAGCTTGTGCACTAAATGAGCGAGTGACTTCCTCAGTAGACACTATCACTGAGCAGGACCTTATAAAAGCACAAGAAGAAGATCCAATTTTTGGTAAAGTGAAAAACTACATCAAGACAAAACAGTGGCCTCTAAGCAAGGGAAATTGTCAGCATAAGGAGTTGATGGTGATGCAGAAAGAAAAGAAAAAACTGTACATTGATGATAACGGACTTGTTTACAGAAAAACTGCTGCCGGCTCACAACTTCTCCTACCCAAAGTTTTCCATCCTCTTGTGTATAAAGAGCTACATGAAGAAATGGGTCATCTTGGGGTAGAGCGAACATTGACTCTCATTCGTGAGCGATTTTATTGGCCACACATGCAGAAGGACGTGGACCACTATGTGACTAAGGTATGTAGTTGCCTCAAACGCAAACGACCCAACAGACCCACTAGAGCACCTTTGATGAACATAGTGACCACTCATCCCTTTGAACTAGTTTCAATAGACTTCCTACACTTAGAGCAGAGTAAAGGGGGCTATGAATATATACTAGTTGTCATGGACCATTTTACAAGGTTTGCCCAGGCCTATGCCTGCAAGAACAAGTCAGCCACAACAGCAGCCGAGAAGATTTTTGGAGATTATATTCTTAAGTTTGGGTTCCCTAGCAAATTGCACCACAATCAAGGCCGGGAGTTTGAAAACAAGCTGTTTTACAAACTCAAGGAATATTGTGGAATACAGGGGTCACATACAACGCCATATCACCCGGCTGGGAATGGCCAGGTAGAACGATTTAATCGAACATTGCTCTCCATGCTAAGAAATCTCCCTGACAAAGCTAAGATTGACTGGAAAAAATCATTGGACAAAGTCGTGCACGCATACAATTGTACGCGCCACGAAGCAACTGGGTTTTCCCCACATTATCTCCTTTTTGGTAGGAGCCCAAAGTTGCCCATTGACATTATGTTTGGTCTGACCCCTGGTGGTGACGAAGAAGAAAGCACGTCCCATAGTGAATATGCTGACAAGTGGCGTAAGCGGATGTTAGAAGCTTACAGAATAGCATCCAAAAGTGACAGTAAAGGGCAGGCCAGAGCAAAGAACTATTACGACAGGAAAGCTTATGGTGCAGAGCTACAACTTGGTAGCAGGGTCCTGGTCCGCAACCTTTCTCAACGAGGCGGCCCAGGAAAACTCAGGTCTTACTGGGAGGAAAAGGTTCACGTCGTAGTTGAAAAGAAGTCTGACACGCCTGTTTATGTGATTAAACCGGAAAGAGGCCCAGGCAAGACACGTGTCATTCACAGAAACCTACTGCTGCCTTGCGACTATCTGCCCATAGAGGACATGTTACAAAAACCAAAACCTGTACAGAGAAAGATAAGTGTGAGAAGAGCTGAGGACAAAACCTCAGACACAGAGGACTCTGACAGTGAAGCTGAGTGGCAAGTCATCATCTCAGAGCCAATAGAAAGTTCCGCTCCAGCAAAACCTCGACGGAGAACAAATGCAGAGGAGTTCCATCCACAACAAACCCCTAGACATCGAGACACAAGCATCAAGGAGGAGCATCACTCTGGAAGGGCACCCGAAGGTCAGCTGAGCAGCGATGACGTCAGAGGAGTCGAGCAGGCGGCGATGGAGCAGGATGAGCCGGGGGACGGTTGTGTGGTGGACGAGTGCCCAGCAGCCTCATCTGATGAAGCAGATGAACCAGCCACCCTGAGACAGTATCCTTCTCGATTCAGAAAACCACCTAAGACCTTTACCTATAACACATTAGGTCAGCCTTCTCTTACGTGAATGTAGGCTTCAAAGCATGTTTTTAGTTAGTTGTTTTGTTAACTTGTTCTAGTTAGTATTCATTAGTTTCGCTGTATGCACAGAGACCACACACATATGCACACATTTGAACCTTTTAGGACAAAACACAGTTGCAAAATACATATGAGCATATTTTAGGTAATAGCTTATCAGCTTGTACAATGAGTCATAGCCAGGAGTATAAGAATCATCTTTCAGTGGAGGTACTGGCCTGTAAAGCAGAGCATTTATTAGATATCACTTGGCCTGTGGTGTCTGGCTGTATACATGGTTGAAGAGGGAGATATGCCATGTAAAGAACTGTCAATGGACATGTGGTACCTTTTCAACGTGAACTGACTCCCACTCTGATGGCTTCAACTCTGGAGTTCAATACTTGTAACTAGACTGTGTAATGTCGGGACGCCATTTATTTTGTAGGGGAGTGTGTGGGACTCATGATAATTAACACGTATAACAATAACGCTGTAATAACACCCACCTCCTATTTTTTGTTTAATTTTCATGTGTAATAACAAGGACATTAGTATATTTTTAGACAGGAGAAACTCAGGTGACCCACGCAGGCAGGTTGAGACAGCTTGGGGGGGGGGCTTGGGAGGTCCTAATTGAAAAGTGTGCTCAGACGAGGAATGCGTGGTGATATCGTCTCTCTTGTGTTTCAGGTAACAAGGACTGTTTAAATATATTTTTATTTCATTTGTAACAGAATACAAAAGCTAAAAAACGTTCTATGTGGTATAACTAATTGAAAAGTGTGCTCAGACGAGGAATGCGTGGTGATGTCGTCTCTCTTGTGTTTCAGTGCAAACCACAATTAAAAATAAGGATAATCCTAAACACTCTGAACTTTTATTTATCCGACCACAAGTGCTACAGTTGGGACAGGTTTGAGGACCCTCTCGCTTTCACATGGAACAAGCATATCTTGCACATATTTTGGGCAAGTCCATTCAGTGCCTTATACACAAAGAGAAGCACTTTAGAGTCTCTTCTATAACAGACTGGAAGTGTTAAGATTAATAAACTTGCGTGATATGATCAAATCAAAACTCTTGCCGCTACATTTTGAATCAGCTGTTGCATGGATTTTTTGCTGAGCCCTGTAAAAATACCATTGCAATAATCAAATCTGCTAAAGATAAAAGCATGTATTTGTTTTTCAAGGTCTTTCTTAGTAGGAAAGTGTTTAACTCTAGCTATGTTTTTAAGGTGGTAAAAAGCAGTCTTGGTGATGGCGTTTACGTGTTTGGTAAAATTTAATTCAGAATCAACCAAGACTTTTTACTTGGTTTGATACTTACATCAACAAGGAGTCTAGATAACTATTAACTTTGGAACATTTATTTTTAGGTCCAAAGACAATAACTTCTGTCTTCTCAGCGTTAAGCTGAAGAAAGTTTTTACCTGTTCATTCTCTGACATGATGGATGCAGTCCCGCAATGTTGTAAGTGGACTAAAATCCTGGGAAAATACAGAAATATATACACTAGCTGTGTGTCGTCAGCATGTGTATAATATGAGGGGTTGTAGTACATATAAATATTTAATAAAAGTGGACCCAGTATGGACCCCTGTGGCACCCCACATGTTTTTGAAGATGTATAGCTGCTGGTAGACACATAAAACTTTAGTGGGACTTAATTTAAAACATTACCAGTTAGCCCTACCCACTGTGTGTGTCTCAGTGTTTTCAATCACACAATGTGTTTAGAATTTTGAACGGTGTTTTCCCAATGGTAACACAGGTTTGCATTTATGGACAAAAGGTCTTATATATAACGCAGTGTCTAGTGAGCAGGATTAAGTGTGTTGCAAAAATGAAAGTAAAGTGTTTTTTTTAAAAACTAACAAACAATCTTTCCTCATCAATTGACAGTTCACACAGGAAGAAGTTAACCCTTGTTTAGTTTCCTCTCTTATGGGCAGCACTATTACAAAAGCAGTGACGTCGCCCGGCATGGCACAGCCGGGGCCCCACCCTGGAGCCAGGCCTGGGGTCGGGGCTCGCAAGCGAGCGCCTGGTGGCCGGGCCTTAGCCCACGGGGCCCGACCAGGCTCAGCCCGAAGGGATGACGTGGGCAGTCCCTCCTGTGGGCACACCACCTGCAGAGGGGTCCGTGGTGGCGAGGTACAGC